CCAAGCAGCATCAGAGGAGCAGGAAAGCTGACGTTTTGGGCCTAGACCCATTTTCTGAAGAAGGGTCTAGGCCCGAAACGTCAGCCTTCCTGCTCCTCTGATGCTGCTTGGCCTGCTGTGTTCATCCAGCTCTACACCTTGTTATCTCTGGTCTTCTGTACTGTAAGTTTATATATTTAGTACTAAATTCCTGCTTAAAAAATAAATTCTGCTTCAACCTTAGCTAAACATAATGCATTCAAAACACATTGCATAATCACTTTAAAATGCTGCATACTAATTGATGCTATTTTTATAACTTCAAGCATTGAAAGTCTTAAAGCATTTGTTGTCATGCCATCGAGATTGCCATTTCAATGTAATTTTCTGGTTATCAGAAATAACTCTACACCTCAAGACCAAGGAATTAATCCATTAAGGTGACTAAGAATTTACTTATATTTAGGGCAGTCATGGCTTAACCTGATATGACAGGTTTAGAAACAGGAGCTCATCTGCTATGGGAGGCAACATGCATACTTTATTACAGTTCAAATGATGTGGGTATAATCTTGACAAACAAGTTCATGAATGTCAGGTGGGGCAACATGTCTAAATATCAATATTTGTGTCACATCTCAACCCTCCTAATCACTGTGAAGTATTCTAGCCCTCTGAGATACTTGTAATCCTCCAGTTCTCATCTTCTGGATGCCTGATTCAATCAGTCCATCACTGACATTTATGCTAAATAAAAACTGAAAGAACTGCGGATGGTATAAATCAGACGCAAAAACATAAATTGATTCCTCAGAACTCTGATGAAGGACCACTCAACCTGAAAAGTTAACTCTGATTTCTCTCCATAGATGCTACCAGATCTGTTGAGCTTTTCCAGCAATTTCTATTTTTGCCATTGATATTCACGCCTTCAGCTCCAAAATCTCCCTCCTGAAACCTCAACCCCCTTTTTACCTCTCTTTAACCTTTGATACACTCTTTAAAATATACCACTGTTATCAGACACTCGACAAATTGATGAGGAGTCAGGCATCAGGTCTTTAATTATTTAATGTCATGCATATGCCGGGGAAGCCAGTCTTATCACTGTGAAGTGTGAAATCAACAAACACCACCAAGCTTCATACAAAGCATTACATCATACATATTACATTATCCATTGTTTTCCCATAGTTTTAACAGACATTGTCTGTATTTCTAATAGTGCTGCTCCTATGCTTCTGCCTCCCTTGTACATCTGAGTTTTCCATTTACTTTTATAATTTCACTGAAAATTTAAAGCTTAACTAATTAAAACTAATTCCACGCCTTCACCACTGTAATCAAGCTGTAAGTTACCAGTCCTAACATTCCGCACAGTGTCAAATTTAAGATGTTCTATTATATTAATGGTATCAAATAAAACAAATTGTTATGATGGATATGGAAAAAGGAATTCATTGTTCTTGCGGAGAGCAGGCATGGATATGATGAGCTAGTTGGCCTCTTTCAGTATGATTATGATTCTATGAATCTGTAATAAATACAGGGATGGACTCATGGCTGACTATGACTACCTAAGTAACAGCTAAGGGTTTCTAAACTAGGAATAAAATCCAATTGAAGCACCAAGTGTTAAGTCAAAATTAACGTAAGATTGAACCAAGGCCTAAATCTGAACTGAGCCAATAAATGGGAAATTGGCCAAATATGAGTGTTGATGACATAGTTGCAGTCACTTACTGGAAGTTGCAAGCGAGACTGGTGGTGCAAAGGAGATGAATTATCAATGGACACAGTCATCAGTTTCACAGGGGATCCTTTGATTTTTCTGTCAACAATTTTAATAGTGTTCATTGTCATCAGCATGTTAGGTAAGTTCTCAAAGACATTTCTGTCTTAATGTTAAGGGTGGAATCAGAAATACTGAAAAGAAAAAGTTCATTTCAGCTGTCAATTTCATACCAAACTAAATGAATAAAATATAAAGTGCAGAAATGGGCTTTTTGGTACACAGAGCACTGTGAAAAGCTTGAATACAGTGAGTGTTGGCACACACTATAGGGAAAAAAAGGATTAGGTCTGTTTCTAGGAGTGTGAATGCAAACTGCTTTGGAAGTCAGATGCAGGTGATGCAGGCTATCTCAGAACCATTGATCCAGAAATTGTGGGGCCCCTAGCAGGGATGTTTGTATCATAGACATCCAAGAAGACTGGAGGGTAGTTAATATGGTGCCATTATTCAATAAAGGCTGCAGGAGAGACCTAGGGGTTCAGGTACATAGTTTCTTAAAAGTGGCATTACAAGTAGACAAGGTGGTGAAGAAGATGTTTGGCATGCTTGCCTTCATTGGTCAGAGCACTGAGTTAGGATTTGGGACATCATGTTATGGCTGTACAAAACATTGGTGCGTCCACTTTTGGAGTTCTGCATACAGTTCTGGTTGCACTGCTATAAACTTGAGAAAGTGCAGAAATGATTCACAAGGATGTTACCAA